CAGTGAGGGGTGTGGGGTATATCGGTGTTACAGTGAGGGGTGTGGGGAATATCGGTGTTATAGTAAGGGGTGTGGGGTATATCGGTGTTACAGTGAGGGGTGTGGGGAATATTGGTGTTATAGTAAGGGGTGTGGGGTATATGGTGTTACAGTGAGGGGTGGGGTGTATATCAGTGTTACAGTGAGGGGTGTGGGGTATATCAGTGTTACAGTGAGGAGTGTGGGGTACATCGGTGTTACAGTGAGGGGTGTGGGGTATTTCGGTGTTACAGTGAGGGGTGTGGGGTGTATCAGTGTTACAGTGAGAGGTGTGAGGTATATCAGTGTTACAGTGAGGGGTGTGGGCTTTATTGGTGTTACAGTGAGGGGTGTTGGGTATATCGGTGAAGGTGTTAAGATTAATGATAGGTTATAGCAAATGTCCCAGATTCTACAGGGTTGATCCTGACAGTGGACAAAGTTGTCTCACCTTCACAGTGCCCTGCAGACAGTGTTCCAAATCCTTTCCAGAAGGATCATCAGTAAAGAGTGCGAATCCCGAATGTAGTGGCTTTCTCATCCCTATTTCCTGGTTGAGTGTGTGCAAGAACTCCTCGACTGTGGTGGAACCATCAAAGCCCACAACCTGAATAAATATGAAGGGGAAGGAAATAGAGCAGGAGGTGGTTTAAAGTTCTCCCCTATGTCTAAAAGCTTGCATTGTAGACTTGGGCCAAAAATCTGGGCACAAATCATTTCTCAATTTGGACTGGGTTACTCACCGGCCATCTAACTGCCAACTATAGGAAGAGCAAAGTTTTGAGTAGCTCCAAGAATATCCAACCCTTTATCATGAGGAGAACATACAAATGAGAATTCAATGGTCATCTCATCTAAATTCATGCTAACATCCAGCGAATTGGAATCATGGCTATACAGTTGTACAGCATGGAAACAGACCCTTCAGTCCAACTCATCCATGCTGACCAGGTTTCCCAAACTAAAACGGTCCCACTTGCCTGTGTTTGGCCCACATCCCTCTAAACTCGCCCCACACCGCTCCCTTCCCGCTTGCCTGGATGAGCGCAGCTCCAACAAAACGGGGATTCCTTGGGAACAGTTATAAAGATCAAGGACGCCGACAATCCATCACTAACCTGGTAAGTACCATTCATGAAATGGACTGGTATGCTGAAAGGGAGTGAGTGGTGGTAGGGATTTCGCAGGAGGATCGACATTATCTCCATCCGGGATGGCTTGGCTTCCCGGTCCCCATTCCTCAGTGTCCGCTCCACCGACCTCTGGCAGTAGATGGAATATTTACCTATCTCAGTCCTGCGACGGGGCAGAAAAGAAAGGAGGTATTGGATTACTCAATGCTCAATGGGCCTCGGACCCTTTCTCTGCCAATAACTGCATGCTGCAATAACACGCTGACATCCTGCGCTGATGACCCTCGGGAGAATGCTCCACGCAGGGATATATGAGACCGAGATTTATGTGTAAATCTAGCAGATAGCTGATCTAAGATAACAAGGTGTACAGCTGGATGAACACAGCAGGCCAAGCAGCATCAGAGGAGCAGGAAGGCTGACGTTTCGGGCCTAGACCCTCCTTCAGAAATGGGGGAGGGGCAGGGGGTTCTGATCTGCTTGTTCTTGCATGTGAGTGTTTCTGACAAGATTGGAACTTGTTAGCCATCTCTGCTCTGACGAGGTAGAGTTGGACCTCCTTCTTAGAGAGCATGAACAGCACAGAAACAGGCCATTCAGCTTATCCTGGCCTTTATACTAGACACAGACTTTGAACCACGAATTTTAGTGGTAGTTCGATACAATTGACTGGCATTCCCAGCTACTATGAAGGTGATTAAAAGTCAATCACAATGGCATGGAACAGGAGACATAAATAACGATGTCTATTACTCAAGGTTTGTATCGGTCATTCAGTAAGATAACCACTACGCTGCTATACCCTGCAGAATACAAACAGCTACCTGACGAATGGTGAACATGAGCTCGGTCTTCTTGATGCGTGTGTGCTTTATTCCAAGTATAATTTCTTCTCAAAACCCTCTCACATTTATCCCTCATTGCCCAGAGGGCAGCTGAGAGTCAGCCACATTGCTGTGGGTCTGGAGTCACATGTAGGCCAGACCAGGTAAGGATGGCAGTTTCCTTCCCTTAAGGGCATTAGTGAACCAGATGGGCTTTTTCGACAATTGACATGGATTTACGGTCATCATTAGATTCTTAAATTCCAGATATTTTCCAACTGAATTCAAATTCCACCATCTGCCGTGGCAGGATTCGAACCCATGTCCCCAGAACATTTTCTGGGTCTCCAGATTAATAGTCCAGCAATAATACCACTAGGCCATCGCCTCCCTTAACTAAGTGTACGGTTCACCTGGGAAGGCTTGATTGAGAGTGAAACATGGTAAGGAGTTCCAAAACTCAGCCGGGCCCATCAGTAATATTGGTTACCGTTTTGGGAGAGAGATTAAGGAGCTAACCAACGTATCCCGTCTGAAAATAGTGCAATGGCTGTTGTGTTAGAACTATCAGGCCCTGAGACTACAACAAGTCAGCCATGAAGTTGGCTTGCAGATGCAGCAGGTAATTAAGAAGGCAAATGGAATATTGTCCTTCATTGCTGGAGGGATAGAGTTTAAAAACAGGGAGGTTATGCTGCAGCTGTATTGCTTGCTGGTGAGGCCACACCTGGAGTACCATGTACAGTTCTGGTCTCCTTACTTGAGAAAGGATGTACTGGCACTGGAGGGGGTGCAGACAGGTTCTCTAGATTGATTCCAGAATCGAGAGAACAGACTGAGTAAACTGGGCCTATACTCATTGAAATTTAGAAGAATAAAGTGAGATTTTATCGAAACATATAAAATTATGAAGGGATTAGATAAGAGAGAAGCAGGGAGGTTGTTTCCACTGGTGGGTGAAACTAAAACAAGGGGGTATAGCCTCAAAATAAAGGGGAGCAGGTTTAGGACTGAGTTAAGAAGGATTGTGAATCTGTGGTCCCTGCCTGGTGAAGCAGTTGAGGCTTCCTCATTGAATGTTTTTAAGGCAAATGTAGATTTTTGGACAGTAAAGGAATAAAGGTTTATGGTGAATGGGTGGGTAAGTGGAGCTGAGTCCACGATAAGATCAGCCGTGATCTTGTTGCATGATGAAGCAGGCTCGAGGGACCAGATGCCTACTCCTGCTCCTGGTTCTTATGTTCTTAACGTTTGGTCGTGCAGCGTTGTGGAAAAGGTCTTTCCTCACTGGTAATTTGGTACGGCTGATCGAAGGACAAAAACCGGAGAGAGCAGTACTTTTAAAAGGACTGGGAAGATATGCCATCCTATAGACGATGGAATGAAAAAGACCCAAACAGCAGATGCTGGTCAATTCCAGTGCAGCTGGAAATGGTCACTCGGTGTTCCATTTGCACACACATCATGTCATATAGCTTAACTCTAATGTACAATGATGCCCCTTACCTGGGATCAGCATGGCGTTGCAGGTGAAGCTTCAGATACCACAGGAAGTGATGCTGGGGAAGGAAAAGAGCAACGCAGAGAGCCAGGAGTTGCCAGCACTGCAGGGAGAGTAAAAAGTTAAAAGTTTTCACTTCATCTTTTAAATGATCAATACTGGTTCAGGTGATGTGTATTTAATGGTTACACACGAAGACACTTACAGCAGAGATAGAGGTCACATGATTATAGCAAGCACAAACGCATCTCCCCCCTTTCTCATAAAATTAACAAAATTGCATAAACAGAACTTTGCATTCACAAATTACCCGTCATACACAGCCACAAAGAAAATTATTGTTCATTACATCAAAGAAGCGGTCAACTTTAGTCAGTTGCCTTTTCAGTTTCTGCACGTTATATCCCAAGCCCTTTAAATCATGCAACGATACATGCACACATTGTCATTGGCTGTTTGTTTGGCATCTGCTCATTTCTAGGGTGATGTTCCTTCTCCAGGAGTGTCATTCACATGGCAAGTGCTGTCGCTGTGGTAAACATGGTTCTCCACCCATTTCCATTGCTGGGGCTGATGGGCATTCCGTAATCTGTACCAGTTTCACTGGTTGGACCTTGATTCTACAGTCAAAAAGATACACCTGGTCATTCACGTTCACCGCACATGATTGAAGTGATAACTGCTCTACACAGGTTCCGAACTGCTATTTGGGCTGGCTTTGGATGAAAATGTTGAACGTTTGCACTCTGACTGCCTCTTTAATGCTTAGCTCTGGCAATGACTTGGCCAAAGTGAAATCTGGCTGCCATTTCAACTTTTTGCCCGCGTCCTGTGTCCATTACTTCTGGCTTCAGTAGCAGTTTCACGATTGGAAGAATATTTTGGGTGTGGCGTGACTTTCCTCTTTAGACTACTTTCCTCAATTGGTGTTTTCCTCCACTCAAGGATTGCCTTGGACAAGACTGTGCTGGATTTGCTTGATCTCTTTATGGTCTCTCAGCTTTCCATTTGATAGGGGATAGTGTGGATACATATCACAATGTCTGGAATTCTGTCATGACTAAAGTACTGGTAGCTGGTCATGTCACATGGTATAACTCCCAGAGGGTGAGAATAGTGGTTGACAGTGACAAGATAATCAGTTCCTGCAAGCCATAGGTTACTCCCATTACATCCATGGTCAGTTTGGCATGTTGTCTATCGTAAGTGACTCTGAGGTTTGCTGAGCTTGGTATTTATAGAGTCATAGAGATGTACAGTGCGGGAACAGACCTTTCGGTCCAACTCGTCAATGCCAACCAGATATCCTCAATTAATCTAGTGCCATTTGCCAGCATTTGGCCCATATCCCTCTAAACCCTTCCTATTCATGCACCCATCCAGATGCCTTTTAAATGTAATTGTACCAATCTCCGTCTCTTCTTCTGGCAGCTCATTCCAAACTCACACCACTCTCTGTGTGAACAAGTTGCCCCTTAGGTCCCTTTTAAATCTTTCCCCTCTCACCTTAAACCTTTGGCCTCTAGTTTTGGACTCCCCTACCCTGGGGAAAAGACCTTGCCTATTCACCCTATCTATGCCCCTCATGATTTTATAAACCTCCATAAGGTCACCCCTCGACCTCTGAAACTCCAGGGAAAATAGCCCCAGCCTATTCAGCCTTTCCCTGCAGCTCAAACCCTCCAACCCTGGCAACATCCTTGTAAATCTTTTCTGAACCCTTCCAAGTTTAACAACATCTTTCCTAAAGCAGGGAGACCAGAATTGAACGCAGTATTCCAAACATGGCTAAACCAACATCCTGTACAGCCGCAAATTACCTCCCAACTCCTATACTCAATGCACTGACCAATGAAGGCAAGTGTACCAAACACCTTCTTCACTATCCTGTCGACCTGGGACTTCACCTTGATAGAAGCACTGGACTGGCTGATATGGTCCTTGATCTATTGCTCTAGTTTTGTCAGTATAGCACTTCTCTTGTCTTCCTCAGTCTCAACTTAATTCCTTCATGACTTGCACAGATGCACTTAAGCATCTCTTTGTCTCATCTGTTTAGGGATAACAACTCAATTCGTTTTCTACAAGATGCATCTTGGGCTATCACTTCATCTCTGCCCTAAACTCTGTGATAAGCAATACGTGTGTTCTTGATGCTTTCAGGCCATTCTTTCATCACTACTTCCGGCAGCGTGGCATCATGTTGCACTGTCTGCTTGATTTGAGAGAGCCAGTCATCGTTCAGATTCTACGTTGCTGCTGAATTGATGGCTTATGTAACGTACAGCTATTGCTTTTACTTTGCTCTGGGAGATGTCACACTCTCTCGTAGTGAACAAAACTTTTACCAGAGGGAGTGCTACTCTCAACAGCATGACAGCAACGTACATTTGTTTTGCTTGCTTTTCTGTTAACGTCCAGAGGAAAACAAAGTTGCATTCTTTGCAGACACTTGGAACAGATAGAGGTGGCTTAAGGAAAACGCTTTGGAGTGGCTTACTGCTGTCAGTTTGTCTCTCCCAGATGAGTATTGTTCAAAATGCTCGCAAGCAAAGACAATAGCCAGGCGCTCTTTTGTTATCTGAGCTCCACCTCTGCTACACCTCTCGTCTTGTTAGGACTTGGGCAAAACCTTTCTGCTATGAGTACAGGACCTGTGTACTCGACTTCAGGCATCTGACTCAACTGGACTCACCACATAAACACAGTGGCTACAAGAGCAGGCCAGAAGCTAGAAATACTGCGGCGAGTAACTCACCTCCTGACTCCCGAAAGCCTGTCCCCAGACTATACAGAACAAGTCAGGAGTGTGATGGAATATTACCCACTTGCCTGGATGGGTGCAGCCCCAACAACACTCGGGAAGCTTGACACCATCCAGGACAAAGCTGCCCACTTGATTGGCACCACATCCACAAACATCCACTCCCTCCATCACCGACACTCAGTACTAGCAGTGTGTATTATCTACAAGATGCACTGCAGAGATTCACCAAAGATCCTCAGACAGCACCTTCCAGACCCACGACCACTTCCATCTAGAAGGACAAGGGCAGCAGATATACGTGAACACCACCGCCTTCAAGTTCCCCTCCAAGCCACTCACCATCCTGACTTGGAAACATATCACCGTTCCTTCACTGTCGCTGGGTCAAAATCCTGGAATTCCCTCCCTAATGGCATTGTGGGTCAACCCACAGCAGGTGGATTGCAGCGGTTCAAGAAGGCAGCTCACCACCACCTTCTCAAGGGGCAACCAGGGAATGAGCAATAAACGCTGGGCCCGGCCAGCAACACCCACATCCCACAGATGAATAAGGAAACCTTTCTCTTGTTGAGCTCGGGTTCATTCAGCAAGTTCTCTCTAGCCTCACACGAGATTCTGATCATAGTCTGTGATGGCTTCTTTCATTGTGTTTCCACATCCATAGGCCAGCAGATCATGTACAATAGCCTCCACTCTAGGAAGATCCCCAACTACCTGCTACAGTCGGCGATGATGCTGTCCTGGAGCATGGAAATGCCAAAAGGCATCCGCAGTCACCTAGATCGCCCGCATGGTATCCATAATGCAGTTAGATTACTGCTGCTTTCATCGAGCTTCAACTTAAATGTTAAAAGAGAGAACTGTCTATTGCGCCAAATAGGGATTAATCCCCCAACTGTCAGACAGGAATGCCATGCAGGAATGACAATTTGCGAGCCCAATGTCCACGTTCTGACTGAACCTTGAAATATTCCGTTAAGTGCTGGTTACCTGGATGAGGGAGAAGTTATGAGGCTGCCTGTGGCTGGTCTGTTTAATGAACTGGCAGTAGATCTCATTCTGCAGTTCCGTGTGAGTCAGGCAAACCTGCAGTGCATTCTGCGCCAGCGACACATGGTAGTCAATCGAAGGTGCCTCAACCAGCACATTGATGAACAGTTGGCATGACTGTGGGGACAGAATACAACAAGCCAAAATCAGTAATATAGCAGGTTGTCTGCACCAACTAGGGACACCCATAAAGTGGCAAGAGGCTTGGTAAGGGAGGTGGGTTGACATAGAATTCCACAGAATACACAGCAGAGGAAAAAGACTAGCCTGCCCAACTATTTAATGCTGGTGTTCATAGTCTGCACAGCCACCCTCTTTATCTAACCCCATCAGCTGTGTTCATCCAGCTCTGCACCTTGTTGTCTCGGATTCTCCAGCATCTGCAGTTCCTACTATCTCTGATTCAAGCATATCCTTCTCCTCCTTTCTTCCTCTAAATGCCATGACCTCACTAATCCATGTGGAGCAAGTTCCATGTTCTCATCATTTTCTGAGTAAAGAGGTTTCTCCCGGCTTCTTGCAGACACACACACCCTCTCACACTCTCACACGCTCCCACACACACGCTCTCTCACACACACGCTCTCACACACACACTCTCACACACACACACATACACACACACACACGCTCACACACACACACAGACAATTACACACCATCACACACACACAATTACACTCTGAGTAAAGAGGTTTCTCCCGACTTCTTGCAGACACATACACAGGCAATTTCACACACACGTGCACACACACAGACAATTACACGCAGACACACACACAATTACACACACGCGCGCGCACACACACACACACAGACAATTACATACACACAGACAATTACACACGTGCGCCCACACACACAATTACACACACACGCGCACACACAATTACACACACACACAGACAATTACACACACAATTACACACAGACAAGTATACACACACACAATTAGACACACACACACGTGCTCTCACACACACACACACTCTCACACACACAATTACACACACTCACACACACAATTACACTCTGAGTAAAAAGGTTTCTCCCGACTTCTTGTAGACACACACACACGCAATTTCACACACACGCGCCCACACACACGATTACACACACGCACACACACACACAATTACACACACACACACACAATTTTACACACACACAATTACACACACACACACACAATTACACACACGCACAATTTTACACACACACAATTACACACACACACGTGCGTGTGCGCGCACGCTCACTGCCTGCCTTTTCGAATCCCATCAAAAGTGAGAGAAATCTTAAAGGAGGAGAGTGGGGTGGAGGGGTGGGTAGGGGGTGCAAACACCATGTGACAGAAAAAAAAGATCCCAGCATTTAGGGCCCAGATGCATAAGGCAAAGGTGAGGTGAGGGGAGTGATTGTGAGGTGGACAAGAGAAGCAGAAAGGCTGAAGCTGGAGGAATTAACTGTTGTACCAGTGGAGGAATTCAAAAGAACTAGGGAGATATTCACTTTGAAAGGATTTGAGTACAGGGGCGAGGATTTTAAATTGGATGCTGCTTGGGCACTGAAAGCCATTATAGGTCAGTAAGGACAGGTGTGATGGAATCATAGAATCCCTACAGTGTGGAAGCAGGCTGTTCAGCCCATCAAGTCCACACCAACCCTCCAAAGAGCATCCCACCTAGACCCTACGCCATCCCTGTAACCCTGCATTTCCCATGGCTAATCCACCTAGCCTGCACATCCATGAACACTATGGGCAATTTAGCATGGCCAATCTACCTAACCTGCACATCTTTGGACTGTGGCAGGAAACTGGAGCTTCCAGAGGAAACCCACGCAGACACGGGGAGAATGTGCAAACTCTATACACAGACAGTTGCACGAGTGTGGAAACGAATGCAGGCCCACGATGAGGTGAACAGGATAATTACAAAGGACAGAATCACAATAAGGCAAGTAATATTTTTACACAGGAAACAACCATATTAATGTGTAACACTGAGTAAGCAAATCCTCCGCACAAAGAAATCACACTAACTGATCACATCCGCACTTGAGTCCGTACCAAAGAGGGGGTGCGAGTACTTTTTTTACCTTGAACAGCTTGAGTGCTTCAGTCTGCAGAGCATCTGAAGGGAGTGTGGTGAGGGCATTCACAATACCATCCTTGCTGCAGCAGAGCACAGGGTGCTTCCACATCAGTGAGTCTAGGTGTAGAAAGGCATGTCATAGCTGTCACAAGGCCATCAACGTGTATCTCAGCACCCACAAGACATAGAACTCCCAAAGTGAAAAAACCTCTACAAGTGAAAAGCAGAATTGCTGGTAAACTCTGCTGTCGTTCAACAATCGCATTTGTTGTCTTTGGCTGCACAAACCCTCCCTTCCCTGACCCCCTTGCGGTGCTCTCTTGTGATATTGGCACAAGTTTTTAACTTGCCCCAGACCCCTCGACCATCCCTTCCACACAGAATGCACTTCAATACGACGGGAAGACTGTTGGTACTCTGAGTTCTGGATCGTCGGCCAGAAACGCTGACTTTCCTGCTCCCCGGATGCTGTCTGACCTGCTGCACTTTTCCAGCTTTATATTCATCGACTCAAGCTTCCAGCATCTGCAGCCCTTACTGTCTCCACCAGAGAAATGAGTTACATAAGGAAACTCCAACCAGCTAAGCTCCACTTTGCTGTTTTGGTCAAGACTTACCCAAAATTAAACCGATTGTGCAGAGAATACCAACACCATTCAAATTCCACATTGTCAACACATCCGTGTCATAAGTTTATTGCCTGTAATTAAGGAAGTGGATCGTGTGGCTTCCGTTCTCAGGATTATCTCCCAAGATCTTTGGCACCAAACAATAGGGACGTCCTTCAATCAGCCTCAGCATCCTACAGATACGGCCCTACACTCTTATCGAAGCCCTTCGATCGACGTAGACGCAGGAGCAAGCAGGGCTGGCATGATCTCAATGATGGAATTGAATGGATCAAGGGCTGAATAGCCTTTTCCTGTTTCCTGTTATATTCATAGAATCCCTACAGTGCGGATAGAGACTATTCAGCCCATTGAGTCTGCACGTACCCTCTGAAGAGCATCTCATCCTATCCCCATAATCCCACATTTACCATAGTTAACCCACCCTAGCCTGCACATCCCTGGACTGTGGGAGGAAACCGGAGCACCCAGAGGAAACTCACGCAGACGCAGGGAAGAACGTGCAAACTCCACACAGACAGTTGCCCGAGGGTGGAATCAAACCCGTGTCCCTGGCGCTGTGAGGCAGCAGTGCTAACCACTGAGCGACCGTGCCACCCTATTCCGAACACCTAAAGTTAGCACTAGGGCACAGTGCGACCCAACACAGGGTGTGTGAGGCTCACACACAGACACTTGGCTCCCTCTACATTGCATCGGATTGACAGCAGAGCAACTGGCCATTCAGCCATTGCCATGACCCACCTTACTTCAACCTATCAGTGTGTCCCTTCTATTCAGTACCTTCTAACGCAACTATTGAGCTTCCTGCATAGCAAATTGAAACTATTTGCCTGTGAGAGCTAGTTTCACTTTGGAGAGCTCACCTCAATTCTCATTTGCTTTACAGTGAAGATCCCTATGACCCCCAATCTAAAAAGCCACCACAAGTCTCCCCAGATCCGACCCTATTGAATCGCTTCAGAACTTTAAAAGTCCCAATGCGATGGATGTACATTGGACTGTCAACTAACTAAACCCCAGTCACACCATTCATTCAATTTACACCACACAAAGAGATCCCTCCGGTTTCACACTCACTTGGCTCCCCATCGATATCCAGCAGTTTTCCGATGAGCTGCTCGTACTCTGTTCCCACTTTCGACTGGCTGCTCCCAGCTGCCACAGTCAAGTGGTAGAGCCAGGTGTCCTGTGAGGGGGAAGACAGCGGGCAGGTGAGTGATTTTGTATCTCAAAAATATACTTTATTCGTGCAAGTCTTTCTGTACACACATAGTCGCATGGGCAGTTCCCAAGGCATTACTTACATGTACAAAACTATGTTTACATGCATTTGAGGCACCAGGAGGGTCCGATATCTGAACGGGACCCCCATTTACTTTCAGCAGGAAGATCTCAGACCGTGGTCTTTCCCCATTGCACTTTGGCAGCAGCTGCCCCAAGCTTTAGTGCGTCCCTCAGCACGCAGTCCTGGACCTTGGAATGTGCCGATCTGCAACACTCGGCCGAGGTCAACTCCTTCCTCTGGAAGACCAACAAGTTCCGGGCAGAGCAAAGATCATCTTTCACCGAGTTGATGGTCCTCCATGTACAGTTGATGTTTGTCTCGGTGTGTGTCCCGGGAGAACAGCCTGTACAGCACAGAGTCCTGCGACACAGAGCTGCTCAGGACGAACCTCGACACAAACCACCACATCTCTCTCCAGGTTCCTTTGCAAAGGCACATTCCAGCAGGAGATGTGTGACAGTCCCTACCCGGTTCCCCCCGCCCCCAGCAACTGCTTCAGGGGCAGAGTGAGGTGGCGCAGAGAGTCCAGGCACATGAAGGATCTGATGGTCAGTACCCTTCTCATTGCCAGCCAAGCGTTGCCTTGGTGATTGTTGGGAAAGTTTCTGGCGAAGAGGCGTTCTGCCCAAATGGCTTTGACAGTCTGCTCAGGGAACAACCTGAGGATCCACCCTCTCCTTTTCCCCGAGGACGCTACGTGCTGACCATCTCCTGGCGAACTTGTGGTCAGAAGTGCTTTTCTTTGCAAATTTCTCTACGAAAGCTGGGGAAAGCCCCAGGAGACATGGTTCAGAGGCTGAGTGTGAGAGAGAGAGAGAGAGACACGGAGCAACAGAGGTTGAGGGAGTTGGAGTAGTGCGTTAGCGATGGAGTAGGTCTGTTAAGCCAGAGCTCATCCACTCTGTCCATTTCTTATATTCCCTCTTCCCTTGATTTTTATTTTCCTTTCTCTTTCATTTTTTTCCCTCCCTCTACTTAACTCCATTCCCTGGACGTCATCGGTGGAGGAGATTTGAGCCAGTGTGGGCTCGATGATGGACTCTCAGCCTCGAGGTCAAGCCCAATGCAGTCTCCCTGCTTCAGCAGGGCTGTGATGCTGAAATTAATTTCTTCATTTTTCTAATTTACACCTAAGATTTTGTACCTAGGTGTCTTTGTGAGGTTGTTGATTTGCCCGCCAAGCTGGCTTGTTTGTGTTCAGATGATAGACCCAACACCGCAGCGAGGTAACAGGATCACAGCGACTGATGAATGCAGGGCAGATAACCAAGACAGACTTCATGAGAATGAAACCAGACGGCACAAACACCTCCCCACTTCTATGGACTGCCTAAAGTACATAAACCAGCCATCTCGCTCAGACCCATTGTCTCCCTACCAGGCACACCTTCACACAAACTGGCCAAGGACCTACAACAGAGACTGAAACACCTGGTAGATGGATCACCTCATTCTATCCAACGTTTGAACGAGAACAAGCCAGCTCGGCAAGCAAGTCAACAACCTCAGCCACGACCCGAGCTATAGATCTTTGCCAAAACTTTAAGGTATCTTTGCACCCAAGACGGTGCCGGAAATTTGCGACATTGTGAACTTCTCACTGTACTCCTGTATTCCTGTGCTTGAGTACACGTGACAACAAAACCTAATTCTAATTCCAATTCTGTAGGGTTGTGGTTATGTTACTGGACTGAATAACAAAGGGCTCAAATCTTACCCATCATCGTTATGAAATCTGAAATCAATTTAAAATCTCAGAAATCTTTTTTCTTAATAAAAAGCTGATATCTGTAAAAGACAGCACAAAGCCCCACCTTACACTGCAAATTCAAGGATATGGGACCCTCCCAGTGCCTCAAATGTATGTAAATATGGTCCAGTATAAGTAGGAAATGCCTTTGGGTTTGTTTGCTGGATAGAGTCAAACTCCAATATTTGTTTCTGCATATACTTCTGTACAGAGCTGAGCTGCTTTACTGACTGTGCATGTACATACAGATATTTTACTAATAAAGTATATTTTTGGAATAAAAAAAACAGTAAATGAATCTGTTCTCTGCACTGGTGCTGCCTGATTAACATCAGAAATCAGAGCTCGGAGAGTCAGGGAGGAGGATGAGGGTTAGAGATGTGGGTGGGCAAGGGTCGGGGGACAGATACCACTCAGACGTGAGGAGAGGAGAAGGTGGGGGACAGGCCAGGGGACAGATGGCAGTCAGACATGAGGCAGGAGAGGGTGGGGGACAGGCCAGGGGACAGATGGCAGTCAGACATGAGGCAGGAGAGGGTAGGGGACAGGTCCAGAAATACAATGGTGACCAGAGCCTGACCAATCAGGGCCGTGCAGATGACAAAGTTACGCCTGGCAGAGCGGTAGAGTCAGGGGAGGACTGTCCTCCTTTAGAAGAAAGCAGCGGCTGTTCTGCACTGAAGGCTTCACCAACCACTGGACCCTTTTTTTTGGCCAAGATATACTTGTGATTCATAAAAATAAAACCTTAAAGGACATCCCAAAGTACAACTATTTTCCTTTGAGCATGTCGCACTCCAAAGTGCCCCAATCCGATGCAATACCATAAGACCGTAAGATATAGGAACAGAATTAGGCCATTCAGCCCATCTGGTCTGCTCTGCTATTTGATCATGGTTTGATGTTTTTCTCAACCCCATTCTCCTGCCTTCTCCCTGTAACCCTTGATCCCCTTACCCATCAAGAACCTATCTATCTCTGTCTTAAATACACTCAACTGTGGTCACCAGCTGCCATCCTGAAAAAGACCCTTTAATCCCCACCTCTCTGCCTTCTGCCAGTCAGCCCAATCCTCTATCCATCCCAGTACCTTCCCCTAACGCCATGGGCTCTTGTCTTATTTAGCAGCCTCCTGTGCGGCACCTTGGCAAAGTCCTTCTGAAAATCCAAATAGATCACACCCACTGGCTCTCCTCTGTGTAACTTATTCATTACTTCCTCAAAGTATTCTGACAGATTTGTCAGGTATAACCTCCCCTTGATGAAGCTGTGCTGACTCAGCCCTATTTTACCATGCACTTCCAAGTAATCCACAATCTTGTCCTTAATAATGCAGTCTAAAATCTTACCAACGACTGAGGTCAGGTTAACTGGCCTATAGTTTCCTGTCTCATGCCTCCCACCATTCTTAAACAGAGGTGTTACAGTAGCCATTTTCCAGTCCTCTGGGACCCTCCCTGGCTCCAGTGATTCCTGAAAGATCAACATCAATGCCTCAACAACCTCCTGGGGCTGTTTCCTTCAGAAACCTGGTTTATCCACCTTCAGACCTTTCAGCTTCCCCAGCACCTTCTCCCTAGCGATGGCCACTACCCCGACCTCTGTTCCCTGACTCTGTTGAAGTTCTGTTATGCTGCTGGTGTCTTTCACTGTGAAAACTGATGCACACAACTTATTCAGTACCCGTGCCACTTCTTTGTTCCCCATTGCTACTTCTACAGCCCACTCTGATCAGACACATTCCTGGAGAGGTCATCACTTTCAAACACCCCGTAACCTCCCTACCGCCCCACACTCTTTGTCACTGGATCTCCCATCAATCCCCGCCTTTCTGTTGCCAGTTAAATAGTCAACTCTGTAATGTGATTGGATGATGCTTGACACAGTTGTGTTTCCTGCAGCCAATGACTTAATCATTCATTAGCAAATGTCTTCAAAGAGTCTTGAAAAGGTATATTTTTTTTTCCCCTGATTTGCTCACAGCAGAGATTAGTCTTTAATTCATGAAGACTGCTGGGAAACCCTGGAGGGATGCCAGCCCTGCAGGAGGCCATAATATAAAAGAGGTCATTTTGCCCATCGAACCTGCTCTGTCCTTCAATAAGATCATGGCTGATCACAACTCCTACTTCCTGACTGGCCTCTATCCTCTTTAACTCCCACACAGATACAACTCTGTCTTCTTTAATTCAAAGGCCCATGCTCCACTCCATTTTGGAGAAGAGAATTCCACCGACTAATATCAGAGGCAAGAACTCTTCATCTCTGTACTAAAATGGAGACCTCTTACTTATAAGCTTTGCTCCCTATTTCTTGTCTCCCCAACAGCAGAGGGCAACCTCCCAGTTTCTACACTATCGAGGCCCCCCCTCAGGATCTTGCATGTGTCAAAAATCTCACCCCTGATTTGTCTAAACGCCAATGGGCAACGGCCTAACCTCTTCAACCTTTCTTCATAAGACCAGTCCTTTGTCCCAGGAATGAGTTGAGTTGATCCACCTCTGAAGTGCCTCTAATGCAATTATAGCCTTTCGAAATGAGACCAAAACTGTGGACAGGTCTCCAGCTGTGGTCTCTTCCAGGACCAGTAGAGCGGCAGTGAAACATGCCTGATTTTGAATTCCTTGCAATAAACCTAGCCTTCCTAAACACTTGCTGTACCTGCAGACTAACATTTTGCCATTCATGAACCAGGCCACCCAGATCCCTCCGTACCTCCGAGTCCTGCAATCTCTCTCTTTTTAAGAATAGAATAGAATAGAATCCCTACAGTGTGGCAACAGACCCTTCGGTCCAACCAGCCCATGTTGACCATAATGCCAATTTAAACTAGTCTCACCAGCCTGCGCTTGGCCCACATCCCTCCAAATATTTCTTATTCATGTACTTATCCAAATGTCTTTTCAACATTGTAACTGCACCCACATCCACTACTTCCTCTGGCAGTTCATTCAACACACAAAAAACTGCATTAAAAAATTGCCCCCTTGTCTATTTTAAATCTTTCTCCTCTCACCTTAAAAATATGCCCCCTAGTCTTGAAATCCCCCACCCTAGGGAAAAGACACCTGCCATTCACCCTATCCACGCCCTTCATTATTTTATAAACCTCTGTAAGGTCACCCTTCAGCCTCCTACACTGCAGTGAAAGAAGTCCCAGCCTATCCAGCCTATTTTTATATCTCAAACACTCCATTCCCAGCAACATCCTGGTAAATCTTTTGCGAACCCTCTTCAGCTTGATAATATCCTTCCTATATAACAGGGTGGCCACAGCTGAATACAATACTTCAGAAGAGGCCTCACCAAAGTCCTGTACAACCTTGACAAGATGTCCCAACTCCTACACTCAAAGATCTGAGCTGATTTGAACTTCATTCTGCCTACTCCCCCAGCACGTCGCTCACCTTTTCCTGTTTAGTCCCAATCAGGAGGTAAGTCGGACTTTGATCCTTTGGATGGATGACCACAGTGAAATGTGAGGACAGGAACCCCCGGCCTCCTGCCTCGTAATCCTCATCTGAGTCGCAGGAACGGTCCACCTCTCCGATTTTAGCTTCTCGGACTTTCAGGTGGCCCAGAGGAAACTGAAAAAGCCAAATAAAGAGTTAAACCACTTGGCTAACCAGCCTCTTACATTAAACCAGCCCAGCAAGAAGTCACCCAGCTCACATTTATGGCTGGTCCATCGTCTCAACATAGGCTCAGTAGGCCTCCTGCTGGATTGTCACTGCCGTTCTCCTTAGGCCCACCACTGGTAGATGTAACTCCCACGGACCTTTCAGGTGGTTGGCCATTTTTAACCTGTATGTGAGGGTTTTTTTTGGCCATTTCATCACATTCTGGTTGGACCCTGGACCATTAGCACGTTTTTTTTACCAGCAAATACACCCAAAAAGGCCACAGAAAGGTAATACTGTTCCCCAGATCTCACTTCTTCCCCTGGAGCAAACTTTCTTCAACCTTAACATCGGAGGAAATGTTCTCGAGTATCTGAGTTGAAGTAGTTATGACACCAATGCACCAAATTAAGTGGGTTTTTGGGACATAAGAAACAACAAAACTAAACTGTTATTTGATGACAACAGGCTATGTACAACTACAGTTTACAACATAGGATGAGGTCATATGGCCAATTGTATTTGTCTTGGTTTGTGGCTACTGCTGTCTAAAATTAAACTCACTGCCCTGCTTGCTTCCCTCTACTGTTTCATCTTTTGCTCAAATTTTCCTTAAAATGAAATGCGTGGTCAAGGGCTCCATTCTTCAGCTACGCTCTTTCTGATGCAATCCCTTCCAATTTCCCTCTGAAGCAACTCTGAATGACTGACTCCCAAACCAGAGGAAACAGTCATTCCTCCTCCACGCCATCAAAATTCTGCAATCTTCTCTTAAGCTCTCCACTCTCGCAGCACCGAGGACCCGGGTTCAATTCCCCCTCTCAGTCTGTCGTGGCTGTGTGGGTTTCCTCCCACAGTCCCAGAAATGTGCAGGTTGGGTGGACTGGCCGTGCTACATTGGCCACAGTGCCCAGGGATGTGCAGGCTAGATGGGCTAGCCATGGGAAATGCACGGTTATAAGGGAGTGGGTCTGAGTGGAATGCTCTCCGGAGGGTTGGTGTGGAGCTGATGGGCCAAATGGCCTGCTCCAACACTGTAGGGATTCTATGATAAGTTGTAGATTCCAATTTCTGCCAATTCCTGAAAGCATGGGTCCGGATTCCAAACACTGCACCATGTAGTGATATTCTTCAGCTGTCTACATAGAACAAAAATAAGGTACCTGGCTTTCTTCTTACTTGAAGATTTACAGTCAGACTGATACATACAAGACAGTAAACTCCCTGTTGATCAAATAATCACACTGCCTTTAGAGCCCTTCCTGTAATGATTTCCAGAACCACACACAACACTCAACTCCATCCTATTCAATGCTCATCATTGCTCCTTTCCCCTTGTACTCTGGTCCCATTCTTATTAAAACTCAAAACACTTTTGGCCTTCATCTGCCTTCATTCGAGCTTTCAAGGAACTTGTAATTTCAGAGGTGCCCAAGCTGAGGAACCACCGTTTTGAAGGTGTCTAGTAATATTGGTGACAGTGCACACAACGCAGATAAGTGTATCTCCCATATACACACAGTCTGTTCAAACACATGATGTCACACCTCTGCAGCAGCTGGAACTTGAACCTTGACTTTCTGGCCTCGAGATAGGGACGCTGTTTTAATCAAATCCCCGTCTCCCTGGATTGTATTTATTTAAAATCTGCCACGGTTTAGAATACAAGGCTGCAAAGCAACCCCCTCCCCCAGCAATAAAAAAAATACAATTGCAAGTTCTCCTTTTCATTTGACTGTTTAAACGTCAAAAAGAAGATTAAAGATTAATGCAAGTTCTCACATCTGGATTTCCACTTAGCCACATGTTTGCGAACATACTGCTGGTATGTACTGTACTGATATATTCAAGTCATGCTGTACGCACTATGCCAGCTCTGTCGATGGAGCAGATCTCAAATGATACCGCAGTCACTTGCTCCTCAGTCTGTTTGTTGATCCTACCTTGTCATCCTGGTTCCGAAAGTAGTAGAAGACCTTTCCTACAAGGGAGCACCAGACCAGTTTGGAGTAGCCATGCCTCACCTGTAATATACCATCAAGAGAAATGAGTGGGGCGTCTTTCCTTTCTGTTCAGGTTAACAATGGCAGAAGGAAATTAAACTTTGGCCACGCAACAGTCAAACCTTTGATTCATTTTACACTATGTTTCCCACCGGGAGATAAAATGGCCCACGGAAGGCTGCTCCGAGCCACTTATTTGCTTTTGGGCCTCAGATTGAACCCCGAACAGCATTTCTTACTTTCGGCGAGGTTAAAAAGGGATTCAAATCGGGCGGAAATCCCCCCCACCCAAATTTAATGCCCTGGAATGGAACTGAGTTCACGCTCAAGGCAATGCAGCTGCCAGTTCTGTTTAACACTGGAACAAAGTTCAAATAACTTTCCCCTCCCTCCACTCCCTGAGTCACATTGACTTCTTTCTGAAATGTAAACCAGGATGGATATCTGAGTGTTCACTGGTTCGCATCATAAACTGAACAGGTTCTATTAGTCATACCCCAAAATCAGCAGGGCAGGTCGTTTAAGAGACAGTCTCGTGGCATGGTTAATGATGGAACACATATGGAGTAGGGCTTCACCAGCTGTCAAGTTCAGACATGTGGAACCGTGATCTTCAGAAAGTCATTGGTTCCATGTTATTGATGTACCTTGAAATTTTAGTGTGCAAACTTCACTACAACAGTGAAACAAACAGCAGCCGCTCTTAGGGTTTGTCCAGAGATAGCTGGGCCAGTTCAGTGTGCAATAAGAGGCTTCAGCACATCCAGATCAGGAAAAGCTCAATATCTATCAGCAATGTGCATTCATATGGCACTTTTAATCGGACAGTACAAACCTCACCCGTCACTTTGCAGCGAGTATAATCAGACAACAACTGACACTGAGCTGAAGGCATAGCCATAAGGACAGGCGATCAAACACATGATGAAAGAGGTAGGATTTAAGGATCAACTGACAGGAGGAGTCAGATGGAGAGATGCAAGGACTTAGAGAAATCTTGTACAAGGCGACTGTTCTGAAAGAGTTAATGCTGACTTTGCATTCACTACACCCAAACTGATGAAGAAATATAGTGTCTGGTCTGTGTCATGGACCAGACCAGACCCCCTCAAAATGTTTTAAGAGGATAGCCCAGACCCTAACTTTTCCTTATTTGCGGCATTGAGCAAAACACAATTTATTCAAATACAGTAGTTAAAATACCAACAACAGAAGAACTTAGAATAACAACTCTATTGGAAAACTTAACAGAATAATACTGTAACTATTACTAATTAACTTTTCCAATACAGTAAACATCCCATAAACACATCCCTTGGCAAAAAGTCAAAGTCAGAAACAGATTTTCTCACGTGCAATCCAGCAGCAGAGAGAGACAAAAAAAGTCATGTGAGAGCTCAAAGAGAGTAGCAGCCAGGAGACATTTACTGCAGCTTTCAATCCCATTGAGACTCCAACAACAACTGCTTAAAGCTAAACCTTAAAAACAAACTTAAAAAAAGCCTAGAAATCCCGGATCTGAGAGAGCAGGACCACACCCACTCGGGCTGCTTCTTTTGTTCTAGCTTATTTGAAAAAAATCCAAGGCCTCACAAGTTGTTTATCTTCTCACAGACTGCTCAGCGCCTGTCCTCCCATCTCTCTCTTGAAAACAAAACCATGACAAAACCTACCTCTTAAAGCCATAGCATCATCACAACGGAGAAAACAATTCAGCTTGCACAAGGTCCCAATGGTATGACATACCTGGCTCTTGACACTTGTCACTTTGTGTAACCAGTTCATGATCACTGTATATGTTGTTATCCTGCAATAGGCTACACCTTGCCATGTAAGGTAAGTGACTCTTCTGTTAAGTGGTCTACCCTCTACTACTGATAGGTTCTTGGACTTAACAGAGAAAGGAAGATTGATGACAGTGATCTTCCCCAACCACATTGGTTGGTGCCCAGTGCCCAAGATGCCAAGGAGGAGTTCTGGAAGATTGAGCCCAGGCAACCAAAGGTGGAGTGAAAGAAATGAGAAATGTACCAGGTGTCAGCACAGGAGGAATACAGAGTTGGAGGAGGGTTGAATGGCCCGGAGGAGGTTACGGGGATATTAGCTGTGTCCCAACATCCGACAATGTCCTGAGGAGACGTGTGCGCGCACGGACATCAGCTGAGCTTGGATGTGGAGCCTGTTATTCCTGCTCACAGCGGGAAGCAACTGTCTGAGCACACATTGACGGACATGCAGCTAGGTCAGACCTTCATGGTCAACCATAGACCCCACACCCCCAATCCTCCAACACAACGTTGCTGGGGTATGGGGAGGGGAATGCAGCAAGAGGTTTACACATTATTGGAAGGCCTGCCCAAAATGTACTTTGTAATGTCGATTGTCTTTCAAAGTGACGTACACTCAGGATGTTACTGATTAATGGGAGCGTGTCTTAAAGAAACAACAGTGGGGCATTGAGCACAGACACCCAATGTCTCCAGGGACTCTCTGTGCTCAACCGAGCACTTTGCATTGGGGCAACAGTGCAGGCTGGGGCAAACAGTTCCACTGCAAGGACACTGTGTCTCACGGGGAGCATTGATTGAAAACAGACTGTCACCACAAAACACAACTCCAAACAATGAAGCAGCCAGTTGAACATTCTTCCAGGCTGGCATCAGCTCAGACGTCTTAATGAGTGTCACTGGCGCCCTGCTTCTGAACTGGCACCAGCTGAAGAGAGTCCTCACTCGAGAGTTAAACCTGCGAGTGACCCAGTTTCTTCCGCTGTCCAGGCTGAAATGCGAAACAGATGTTCGGTGGAGCTGATGCTAAAGAAACAGCTGTCTGTCTGAAATCGCTGGGCTGCGTGTTAAGGCCAAATGTACATACACAAACCAAATACACCATTTATCCAAAGCCTCCCTGTTACCGACACCACATACTGGGTGAAATCAGCCCCGGACTCTTAGCATGGAGCAGACTAGCCTTCTCGATCTGCATTGTCCCTAACTCCAATGGAACGGATTTACAGGTGCAATGTCAGACATTTGCTGTGGCACATTCTGCAAATGCACTATTTCACCTCCCCCACACCCTCCCACTGTCACGTACCTCTATTTCCCACCAGGCCTCACGCTCAGTCTGCAGACTGGCCTCTCAATCAATCAGGATATCACACAGGCGTACATGCGCTTTTACACACAGGTATAAGTGGTGAACGCATGGGAGAAACCCTTCCTTCCGATCTCGTTTGCTTTTTGTTCTCACAGAGTGCACAGGAATATTAGAACTGATGAATGATGCAGGCCTGAAGACGGCTACTTGGCCCATCGTTCCTGTATTAGAGCTATCGGATTAACTCCACTGCCTTGCTTTACTCCCTCTACGGTCCTGACTAGATCATTGTTTTAGGGAAGAAAAAAACAAATGGTTTTCCTCACTGTCATATCAGAGGTCACTTTACACAGTGCACAGCCTTCTTCATGTTGCTCCTGTTTCCATACAATCACAGAATGCCCACAGTGTGGAGGCAGGCCATTCGGCCTGTCGAGCCCACAGCAACGTTCCAAACAGCATTCCACCCAGACCCACCCCATCCCATCCCATCCCATCCCTGTAACCCTGCATTTCCCATGGCTAATCCACCCACCCTGCACATCTTTGGACTGTGGGAGAAACTGGATCACCCTGGAGGGGGGTGGCGGGAGACCTGCGCAGTCACAAGGAGAATGTACAAATCCCACACAGTCGCTCGTTGGCGGAATTGAACCCGGGTCCCTAGTGCTGTGAGGCAGCAGTGCTAACCACTAAACCACCGTGCTCCCCCATTTAGCTGGAATACTTCACTCTGTCCTTTACAGAGATCTCCCCTTTCTCACTCAGGTAACTCTGTTGCATTTGGAGACATTTCACAAACTGACTGTCACCTAGTCAGAGCTGTCCTCTACCCCAAGAAAGACCTTTCCTTGCTGCTGCCTTTCCTTAGAATCTGTGCTTGCTTAAAAGCTGTTCAGTGTGTCTTCTGCCATTCCTGAGAGAAGGACATTGAGCTGAGATGTTACCTCTCCATCCTTCTCTTTCGATGTTGGCTGGCCCACACAGGGTTCCCTCAGTACTTTCTGTCCTTGTTTTGCACAGGGTCTAGTCTTGATCCTAAAATTGCTTGTATTCTGATCTCTAGTTGACCGGAACAAGTTATCCATCTCCAATGTCCAATGACACTCTGGAATCAACAACTGTGACTTATGCACAAGGGAGTTGGAGAGCCACTCTCTCTGAAATTCTGTTTGTTTGTTTCTATTTGTTCAAGGGGATGTGGGCATCACTGGCTAGGCCAGCATTTATTGCCCATTCTCTATTTGTCCTGGAGGAGGTGCTGCAGATCTTGGGTGCCATCAGGAAAGGGGTTTAGGTTAGCACCCTGTGAGAGTGACGGAATAGCAAGGTAGTTCTGATGTGTGGCTGCCCTCATCTTTCTCAGTTGCATGTTTGGAAGGTGCTGTTGAAGGAGACTGGGTAAGATGCTGCAGTGCTTCTTATGGACAGGACATACTGGAGGGAATTAATTCTTAAGGCACTGGATGGGATGTCAATCAAATGGACTGGATGGGTCCTGGATAGTTTCAAGCTTCTTGAGCATTGGTGGAGCTGTACCCATCCAGTCTAGCAAATGGGTTTCCATCACACTCCTGATTTGTGCCTTGTAGACTATGGACAGGCTTTAAGGACTATTTATATTGTTGCAAAATTGGGTAGAACACTTGTGGATTGGAAGACAGGATTCGGTGTTTTTTAAAATATCAATGTTTATAAAATGATAGGTGCGGGGGAAGGCAGTGCGTGGTCCCTTTGAAAGATGATATGCTTTTTTTTGAGATTAAAACAAAATGTTTGTGGACAGCTTGTAGGTCTGCAGCTGCATAGCCAGCCCCTGAATTGAAACATTTATATCAAAAGGCTATGTGGTTAGCAATCCAGGCAGCCGTTTTGTTATCAAGACAAGAAGTTCGGATTTAGCCAATTAATTTAAACTAGGCACTTAGATACAGAAAGCCAACTAAATTTAAACCTGAAGGTTTTGACAACATAGGACCAATCCTATTGTAAGAAATTGATATGTCATCAAGGATATACAGAAGAGGGCATTTGCAAAATCGGCAGGAAATCAACTGCCATCTAATAAGAGATCAGCTCTCTCTCAGCTCTTGGAGTAAGCATCATCTAAATAAGGGCAGCGCGGCACACTTAGCTAACATTCCTGACACAAGAATTAGATGGAGAAGGCGTTCCTTACTGAAGATCAATGGAGAATGCCCAGAACATTCCAGAAGACATAACCTGGCTGTAATTTCAAAAGACTAAGTTCTAATTCTTTGTTTTCATTTTGGTTTCTATAAGCGGGAGTCATACTTATTGGAACAGCATACCGTTAGAATTTTGTTTTATTTGGGAATAGTTAATAGTCAGAGGGGAATTGTTTGGTTTGTTAACAGTTCAGTTAATTTGTTCACTGTTAGAGTTACATAAATAAATTGTTACTTGTTGATTATAGAGCGAGTGTTAGGAGTTTATTTCACTTAACCAGTCCTTTAAAACAGATGGGGGGGCGGCGAGAGGCAGTTTATATCACTTTTCGCACTTCTTTTAACAGAGTATAGGTTAAGGTGAGTCTCTCTGGGTGTTTTGGTTTTAGTTATCGGGGGTGTGGGGTGAAGTTGACCTCCGCTTTGTAACAATATTTACAGTATTTATATGGCCAGTCCAATTCAGTTTCGGATCAATAACAATTGATCAGCTCCGTACAGATGGAGCACTGTACGGGTTCCCACAGTCTATATACATATATGAACCGGACTCTCAGTAGCCAAACGTAATGTCCACATAAAGAGCTGAGAGTGCTGAGGATCACGGATGTGATCTGAACAACTCTGCTACCTCATACTCTTGCATTTCTGTAGTGCAGGACCTTCCAAAATGCTTCCTGACCCATGAAGTGCTTTTGAAATACAGTCACTGGAGTAAAGTAGGCAAGTTGTCAGCAACAGGCAATCTTCCCAAAACAGCATTGAGATCCATGATCAGATCTCTGTCTTAGTTAGTTCTGTTGGACGAATGAGTGTTGGACTCTTCCTTGAATAGGAACACAGGGAGCAGGGTTAGGCCACTGTGCCCCTGGTTTTACTCTCTAACAAGACAGACTCTCAGCATTTTGGAATGTAGGATCCTAGATTAGGTCATTCAGCCTCTTGGGCCATCATTCTAGATCATGGCTGCTCATCTATCTCAACACTATATTCCTGCGCTATCCCCATCTCGCTTGGTGTTATTATTAACTAGAAATCTATCAACCCCTCTCTTTACTCAATGACGGACCTCTACATCATTCTAGGGTCAAGAAGTCCAAAGGTTCATTACCCTGAGTGAAGACGTTCCTCAGCTCAGTTCTAAATGGCTTGCCTTTTACTCTGAGACTGTGTCCCCTTGTCTTAGACTCCCACAGCCAGAGGAAAATCCTTTTCGCATTTGCCTTGTCTAAACCTTTCCGAATTTCCTGTGCCTCCATGAGGTCACCTCTCATTGTTATCAACTCTAAAGATACAGGCCCAGTCTCACCAAGAACCTGGCCGGTGAACCACGGCTACTGTCTCTCTCTCTCTCTCTTCGGCGAGTTTATCCTTCCTTATAAAAGGAGGCCAGAGCTGCACACAGTACTCCAGGTACAGTCTCTTATACAATGCTTATAAAACTAAATCATCCCGAGATCTTCTACATCCATTCGAGCGCGCTGGTGGGTTCTCAATTGAGCATTTGATGTCAGTGAACCAAAGGTACGTTTCAAAGAAGCTGTTTGTCTGGCACTCATCAGGACATTTTGCAAGAATACCAAGTCAAGGGAGGGGGGGAGAAAAAAAAACCCAACAAAGCTGCTGGCATGGTGATGTGGAGGGGGGGACTGCTAAATCCCAACGGAAGAGGGATGGTGCTCTCAAACGAAGGGGTGCAGGCTGCCCCGTGCCTTCTGCAAGAGCAGCCAGGCATGGGCCGTGGAATCTAACTGGCCTGAAAACCTGGCGCTAGTAAAATGCAGTGCATGCAGCTGCCGATCAGGGGCGGGGACTGCCCTCCCGCATTTCGACATGGCGACAGATGACGATTGTCACGTCCTCCCGGAAGCGGAGGCTCGGTGAGTGGGGTGGCGGGGGGTTTGAAGTCCAACATCGGCCCCTTACCTTGGTCAGCCAGCCCCGGACAGAGGGTTTCGATTCTGTCTGTGGGATGACTGGGCCAGCGAGCTGGACCTTCAGAATGCTCTGGAGTACCCGGATCCACTCCTCCAGGATGTTCGGTGAGTCCGCCGTCAGATAGTACGTCCTTTTCCCGGTCACCAGCTGCAGCAGAGACGGACAGAGGGTAAATCCCCACAGGAAGACACAGGGAATCAAGCCACTTGCGAATGGGTGGTGTTTCTCAGGAGCCCCTTGCAACGAGGCTGAGTTGCTACAATGACAATTCAGCCACATGCCCCATACTGGATACACTCGGCTCCCATGTGTTACAGGACTTAGCCCTTTGGGGGACATAAGAAACAGGAGCAGGACATCTGCATCCACCCCCACCCCCACCCCCCACACCCCCACCCACCAACCCAACCCACCTGAGCCTGCTCCACCGTTCAATAAGATCATGACCTATCTTTTCGTGGCCTCAGCTCCACTTACCCGCCCGTTCACCATAAGCCTTAATCCCTTTACTGTTCAAAAATCTATCTTTGCCTTAAAAACATTCAACGAGGAAGCCTCAGCTGCTTCACTGGGCAGGGAACTCCACAGATTCACAACCCTTTTGGGTGAAGAAGTTCCTCCTCAGCTCAGTCCTAAATCTGCTCCCCTCTTATTTCCCCTGGTTCTAGTTTGACCCGTCAGTGGGAACAACCTCCCTTCTTCTGTCTTATCTAATCCCTTCATAACTTTATATGTTTCCATAAGATCGCACCCCCCCCCGCCCCCTCATTCTTCTAAATTCCCATGAGTATAGACCCCAGTCTACTCATTCGCTCCTCAATGTCGTGCGCTATGCTGATAGTGACTTGTCACGTTTCAGGCTTTTGACTAAATTTTGCCACTAAAAGGATTTGGAAGAAAGAGTTTGCATGTTTGGATTTTCAAAGCATTTGCAATTTTTTTTCCTATTTAGAAACGACCAAGAGCAGTTAGGATACTCGCTGTAACTTCTCACCTCCAAAGAAAGATTCTGGATGGATGATTTATTTGGAATAAAAACAGGAAATTCTGGAAATGCTTAGGATGAGGTGTGCGTGTGTGGATGTGTGTGTGCGTGCATGCTTGCGTGTGTGTAGCATCCGGGGAGAGACTGTCTTTATATTTCATAAGCATTTTACACCCATTGTATTTGGAAGATTCTGGTCCTATCTGAGTGCAAACAAAGGGATATATTCAATACAAAAATGGACAGGCAGAAAGACAGGTAGTCAACAAAGGCAGTGCTTTTGAAAGAGCTACAATTGTGAGCACGAAGAGTATTAAATTGGTAATGAGGGCCCACAGAGTGGAACGTGGTGTGTGGAGAGAAGTTTATTTTTATTAGGTTTCCTGTTGCTTTCGATTTATCATGCTTTGTCCTGGGGCTTTACGCCTGACCTGGGAATGAAAATTGTAAATATTAAGACTATTGGGGGCAGCACGGTGGCTGAGTGGTTAGCACTGCTGCCTCACAGCACCAGGGACCCAGGTTTGAATCCACCCTCGAGTGACTGTCTGTGTGGAACTTGCACATTCTCCGTGTGTCTGCGTGGGTTTCCTCCCACAGCCCAAAGATGTGGCGGTTAGGATGGATTGGTCATGCTAAATTGCCCACAGTGTCCAGGGATGTGCAGGTTAGGGTGGGTTAGCCAAGGGAAATGCAGGGCGGGGTGGGGGGGGGTGTGGTGAGTCTGAGTGGGATGCTCTTCAGAGGGTCGACATGGACTCAACGGGCCAAATGGCCTGTTTCCACAACATAGGGATTCTACGATCACAATCGTGTTGGGACACGCAAGGTTGGAAACTGCTGTATGGAGTAAAGTTACATTTCGTTGTACCTTCTGTCATGTTCAAATTGAAACATTTTGTAAAGTACTTTTACAAATTTTATGGATAAAATGTAGTTTTCGGGGAAGGTGGCAGGTTTTGGTCAGGTAGAGTAAATTGGAGGGAAGTTATCTTACTGAACCAAGTCAAGCAACAAATGGAACCGGGAAAGTGTTGTTTGTCCACAAAGTTAAGTTTACTGTTTGATTTAAGCAAATCTGCTTAAAACAAATACACTGCCCTTCATTTGCATTAAATATTGCAGATTAAAGATTGCAGTAAATCCACCCAAAGGGATCCACAGAGGTCGAACCAGACAAAGTTTGCTGCTGAGTTACATAAATGGGTCACTTTCAGGTTGGTGAGATACAATGCATGGGGTGCTACTGGGCCTCAACAGATCACAATTTATCTAAAGAATTCGGATGAAGGTATGGTAGTTAAATTTGCTGACAACACTTAAGATCAGTTGGAAAGGAAGTTGTGAAGAGGACATAAGGAGGCTACAAATGGATTGCATAGGTTCAGTGAGTGGAGATATAGCGAATGTGGGAAAATGTGAAATTGTCCATGTTGGCAGAAAGAATAAAAAGGGAAGCATATTATCTAGATAGTGAGAGGTTGCAGAGCTCTGAGATGCAGAAAGATCTGGGTGCCCTCGTGTATGAGTCTCAGCAGGTTAGTATGCAAGAACATCAAGTAATCAGGAAAGCTAGTGAAATACAATTGCTTATTGTGAAGGGAATGGAGTGTAAAAGTCGGGAGCATTGGTGAGATCACATCACGAAAACTATGCATAGCTCCTGATATAAAGAAGGTTGTAAATACACTGGAAACAATTCAGAGAATGTTTATTGCACTAATTTGATGATTTCATTGAAATAAGAAACTGTGGTTCTCGACAAGGTGAATGTCATAGAGCTGTACAGCACGGAAGCAGACCCTTTGGTCCAACTCATCCATGCCGACCAGATATCCTAAATTAATCTGGTCCCATTTGCCAGCATTTGCCCTATATCGCTCCAAACCGTTCCCATTCATATAGCCATCCAGATGCCTTTTAAATGTTGTCATTGTACCAGCCTCCACTGCTTCCCCTGGCAGCTCATTCCAGCTCATCTGCACCACCCTCTGGGTGAAAAAGTTGTCTCTTAGGTCCCTTTTATATGAATGTGGACAGGATGTAGGAGAATCTATAACTAGGAGTCACTGTTTAGAAATAAGGGACTTCCATTCAAGACAGAGATGTGGAGAAATTATTTTCTTACTGAGGGCTGTAGGTTTCCGGATGTCTCTTCCTCAAAAGGCGACGGAAGCACTGTCCTTGAATATTGTTAAAGGCAGAGATTCCTGATTAGCAGATGAAAGGGGAATGGGCTATACGGGAATGTAGAGTTATCAGATCAGCCATGGTCTTAATGAATTGTGGAACAGAATGGAGATGGTGAGTATGAGGTATTAGGACCACAAGCTTGGCCAAACAGGTAGGTTTAGGAAGCAGGTTAAAGGCAAATTGAGTTAGAGAGGCAGAGATTTAGGAAGGAAATCTAGAGCCGAGGCCACAGCCCGAGTGATAAAGCAATGGAAAGACAGGTCAGAGTTAGAGGAGCACAGAGGGGCAGGATGTTACAGAGACAGAGAGGAACCAAGTCATGGAGGTATCTGAACAAAATGCTGGAGAGATGTCAGAGGGAGATGGGATGAGGAACCAGTGAACACATGGGATGGTGGGTGAATTGGTGGGGGGGATGGTCAGTGCAAGTTGGGGTAGAGTTTGCGATGAGTTCTAGTTTAAAGAGGGTGGAGAGGCTGAGGGCAATGAGATAGTCAGCATTGGAGGGAAGAAAGGCCCGACAAACACACACACAATCACACACACACACACACACACACACACACACACACACACACACAATCACACACACACACACACACACACACACACAC